TTTTTTTTTTTTTTTTTTTTTTTTGGAGACAGGGTCTCGCTCTGTCGCCCCAAGCTGGAGTACAGTAGCATGAACACGACTCACTGCAGTCTCAATCCCTGGGGCTCAGGCAATCCTCCTGCCTCAGTCTCCCAAGTAGCTGGGACCACAGGCACATGCCACTACACCCAGGTCACTTTTTTACATGCTTTGCAGAGATGAGTTCTTGCCATATTGCCCAGGCTGATCTCGAACTCCTGGGCTCAAGTGATCCTTCCCCCTTAGTCTCCCAAAGTGCTGGGATTATGGGTATGAGCCACCACACCTGGCCTCATCTACTTTTAAAATACAACTTATCTTATTTTATTTATTTATTTATTTTATTTTTATTTTTTATTTTTTTATTTTTTTATTTGTTAAGACAGAGTCTTGCTCTGTCACTAGGCTGGAGTACAGTGATGCGATCTCGGCTCACTGCAACCTCTGCTTCTGGGGTTCAAGCGATTCTCCTGCCTCAGCCTTCCGAGTAACTGGGACTACAGGTGGGCCACCACCATGCGCAGCTAATTTTTGTATTTTTAGTAGCAACGGGGTTTCACCATGTTGGCCAGGATGGTCTTGATCTCTTGACCTCGTGATCCGCCTGCATTGGCCTTCCAAAGTGCTGGAATTACAGGCGTGAGCCACCATGCCCGGCCTAAAACACAATTTAAAGGGCAAAAAAAAAATCATGCCTAGTATTTTTTTTTTTTTTTTTTTTACAAAATAACCTATGGTATCTCATAAAATCCATTTGGGAAAATGTTTAAGTAACTTGAATTAAGATTCACTTAGGTGGGGCATGGTGGCTCATGCCTGTAATTCCAGCACTTTGGGAGGCCAAGGTGGGCAGATCGCCTGAGATCAGGAGTTCCAGACCAGCCTGGTCAACATGGCAAAAACACATCTCTACCGAAAATACAAGAAAATTAGCCAGGCATGTTGGGGTGCACCTGTAGTCCCAGCTATCGAGAGGCTGAGGCAGGAGAATGGCTTGAGTCTGGGAGGGAGAGGTTGCAGTGAGCCAAGGTTGCGCCACTGCACTCCAGCCTGGGCAACAGAGACAGACTTTGTTTAAAAGAAAAAAAGGACTCACTTGGAATCCTGGTCATGAGTCTCTCCAGCCTGAGCGGGGATCAGTGAAAGACACTGCAGAAAGGGGAGCTCAGATGCTGTCTACAGCTAAGGTGTGCTTACCTCTTTTACTGAACATAGTCACTAGTTCTATTATAAAGGCTCTGTGTTTCCAAAAGTTCCTTTATTTCAGTCACTACTTGTACCTGGCAGTCCACACTAGTAGAGTTTTCTTCGGAAAGTTCCAAGAGAACACGGTAAAATGTAGCTTGCTTTCTGATTTTTTGACGTAAAGAAAAAATATATAAGGAAGTCATTTAGGCCCATTCAGAATTTAAACTATATATACTATTTATAAGGAAATGTAATCCTACCTAAACCCTGATGGAGTTGTCATAATTTGACATCATCCAGAATTAGAAATCAATTTTCCTTCATTTTAGGTAACAAAAATAGTTTGGGGACAATAGAGGCTAAAAGGAGTTGAGCAGCGAATGCAGCTGGAAGTTTTCATGATCCAAAGGCATCTCCATGGAGGAACTCTCAGCCAAGAAGCTCAAAGATGGACATAGTCGGAGACACAACGGTCCCTATACATCCTTGAGATGCACAGATTAGCACTCCACGTTGTGAAAGCAGCTACATTTTGTATTTGTAAGTGCTGGTAGTAGGGCAGGCTTGGATGGAAGAAAGCCACAGAGGAGACCATGATGTGGACAAAAGGACAGCTTCCATTTTGCCCCTTCTCTCTTCTCAGCCAGTCACCTGCAGCAGCAGCAGCCCAGGCCAGAGCCTCCTGCCCCAGAGGAAATCTTGTCATCTTGCTCAACAAAGGTTCCATACCCTCAGTACCCTGACTTATCGCCATCTTCTCTAATAAGATACTTGTCTGACAATTTTGCACCCAGGTTGGCCTCTTCCAAAGGGTGTCTGACTCAGGACTCTAGTAATTCCAAAGGGATGAGTCTCTATTAGGAAGAATTGTGAACAAGTATAACGAGACTAGTGGAGTAGAAATGACATATCTGGTAGGCCAGGCGCGGTGGTTCACGCCTGTAATCCCAGCACTTTGGGAGGCCAAGGCACGTGGATCACTTGAGGTCAGGAGTTCGAGACCAGCCTGGCCAACATGGTGAAACCCTGTCTCTACTAAAAATACAAAAATTAGCCAGGCATGATGGTGCAAGCCTCGTGGTCCCAGCTACTCAAGAGGCTGAGGCGGGAGAATCTCTTGAACCGGGGAGGCAGAGGATGTAGTGAGCCAAGATTGTGCTACTGCACTCCAGCCTGGGCGACAGAGTGAGACTCAAAAAAAGCGACATATTTGGAGATAGGAAATCTGAACCCACTTAGACTTGACTACAAAACCTTCTCTCGGGCTTCAATTCCATCATCAGCAAAGCCAGGGGACTGAGGGGATGTGCAAAGATCTCTTCCAGTTCTAGCACTAGAAGACCCTAAGAAGCCTATGATGCCTTCCCGGTACTGGTAAGCCAGGGGGCCAGCCCTGCCTGTGGGACAAATAAGGCAGAGACAGAGGCTATGACGAGGTTACAAGCCCAGAGTGAGTCAGCCTGGAGGTTAGGAAAAGCAGCCAGTCGGAACTCAGCCCACACTGGGTAAGGATGTGTGGGTGGTGGACAATGCTCCCTCACACCAGATCTTCCACCACAGCTGCCTGCATTTCACCTTCTCTGTCATCCTCAGAGACGAGATGCGATGAGAAGCAAAACATTCAGAATGCAAAAGTGGTGATTAGGCCTTGTAATCAAAAGGGGCCCTACCACTCTCGACAAGCCATTAGCTTTCCCAGCAATTCAGTGCCCCCCGTTTAAGTCTCTTGACTGTCTGTTAAAGATGCTGTGACTTCTATCCATTGTCAAATGACTGATATAGTCAAGAGACCATGGGACAGATTCTCGGGTAATTCTGATTTTATTTCCTGCGAAGAAGAAAGTATAATTTTTTAAAAAATATATCAACTTCATCCATCACACACTACAAATTGTCCCTGTGATTGAAGACCTGTGTTCAACATTAGCAAAACTCTTTGCCCTCACACCTGGTTTTAAAATTAAGTTTGAGAGTAAAAGGTTTTATTATGTACTTGTTTTTAATAGTCAAAAGTTCATGACAGTGGATGAGTGTGTTTCATAATTTTTGTTTGTAATGGAAGCCACAGTTAGACATTTAAAGCAAGTATAACAGGCTAACAACCTCTTCTTCCTGTGGTTAAAATGATAGGAAGTGATTTATAAACTGTCATTAGAGTTAGCTCAGCTAAGCAATATTGGCTTTGTTAGCATGATCTAAAACTCTTGGCAAACTAAAATGAAAAGCGTAATCTTCATCTGTTGTCAAACGATGAGATTCATTACCCAAAAAAGTCATAAGACTTAAATAAGGATATAGATGCATAAAATCTTTTTAAAATTTAGACTTACATGCCTAACTAGGAGTTATCTTAATTCAGTATTGGTGGTCTATAACTCAAATCTTTAGAAAATAAGCTAATTGCTAGAGAGGTTAAAGAGAGATTAACAATAGGAAGCTGTTCTTTTACTAACCTCTAAAAACCAGATATGGGCTATACCTGAATGCAAAACACTCTATGTAATAATTGCAATGAAAATTTTAGTAAAACCATAAAATCCTTATTGCCTTCTGAAGATCAAGCCCATTTTCTACTAATTGGTTAATTCAAATGAAAGTCTCCACCTCCTTGATTTGGACCCATTGTTAGTTTCTCCACAGAAAACTGCACAAGTCCTATTAAAGACTTTCATGACAAACCACTAATTAAAGAGAAGTTTGTATCTGACATAATAGAGATTCTCAAATATTTGTTGATTAATTGTCCTGCATTGTTATGCTCTAGGGCTTGTATTAACCAAAGAGTATTGTCTTGGCCCTGGAATAGAAAAACATATTTGAAGATGAACACAGTGGCTCACAACTATAATCCCTGCAGAGCTTTGGGAGGCCAAAGTGGGAGAATTGCTGGAGACCAGGAGTTCAAGATTAGCCTGGGCAACAAAGCGAGATCCTGGCTCTACAAATTTTTTTTAAAAATTAGCCAGGTGTGTGTCTCATGCCTGTAGCCCTAACCACTCAGGAGGCTGGAGTGGGAGGATCAACTTGAGCCCAGGAGGTCAAGGCTGCAGTGAGCTCTGATTGCACCACTGCACTCCAGCTTGGGATAGAGAACAAGAACTTGTCAAGAACGAACGAACGAATGAAAGAAAGAAAGAAAGAAAGAAAGAAAGAAAGAAAGAAAGAAAGAAGGGAGGGAAGGAAGGAAGGAAGGAAGGAAGGAAGGAAGGAAGGAAGGAAGGAAGGAAGGAAAGAAAAGAAAGAGAAAGAAAAAGAAAGAAAGAGAAAAGCATATTTGTATGTCATTAGAAATAAGTGGATAAAAATCTAAGTGTATTAACATCATCAAATTAACTAAAAAAATGCTATACTTATTTAAAATATAGAACATATCATAAGCTTTCAAATCATAGTGGTCAAACAGCCACCATCTTCAAGAATCAATAATAAAGAAGTGCTAGGAACTCTTACAGATGGATGAATGACAACAACATAGAGTATTAAAGAACCATTCAAAAAAAATGAATAGGAGTTACGCCAGTTGACCTGGAGAATTTCTAGGCGGTGATAGTGAATACAAAAGATAAGATGCAGAGATAAGTTCATAGTATGATCCCATCTTTGTAATGTAACAAAATACCCACTTATAAATGTGTTTACATATGTGTGAATCTAAATGTTTTTATACAAGTATATGATGTATGCAAGTCTGTATGCATAGTCATATATGGTCATAATGCATATGGTTAGATAGAAAAAAAGTACTAAAGAGTACACCAGGTGGCTAACACTTTTCCTAGGAAACTGGAGGGTGGGGACAATAGAGGGCAAAAGGAAAGGAAAAAGGAGACTGAACCAAAAATTACGATTGTACTTGTGTAAAAGCATATGCATGCTTTTTAGAAAGAAAAAGTCCAGAAATATTGGCTCATATCTGTAATCCCAGCACTTTGGGAGGCCAAGGCAGGCAGATCACTTGAAGTCAGAAGCTCGAGACCAGCCTGGTCAACACAGCAAAAGCGCGTCTCTATTAAAAACACAAAAATTAGCTGGGCATAGTGGCACATGCCTGTAACCCCAGCTACTCAAGAGGCTGAGACGTGAGAACTGCTTGAGCCCAGGAGGCGGAAGTTGCAGTGAGCTGAGATCCTACCACCGCACTCCAGCCTAGATGACAGAGTTAGACTCTGTTTCAAAATAAATAAATAAATAAAAATGAGAAAAGAGATATGTCTACAAACTTATAGGGATGGCTTTGAAAGATTAAAAAGTTACAGAGTAATGTGTCTAGTCTGATTCTCTTTTTTTTTTAAGATAGCTTTACTTTTTCTTTTCATAAAATTGACACTTTGTCATTACAATATATATCAGAAAAATAGAGAAGCAGAAGGAAGAAAGTCAAGATTATCTATAATCCTAACAACCACTGCAACGACCATCGAGTTCTTGAAGCCTGTCCTTCCGGGTTCTGCTGTTGAGGAAAATGCGATCATGCAGGTACTATGCTACAATCTTCCTTTATCAGGTAAAAATAAATGATTACTGTCACCTGGCCAGGTGCTCCTTTCTCATTGAGCTGGCCTCCCTGTCTCTCTGAGGCACAGGAGGCCCGCCCATCCTCTGTTAGCTCTTAGCCTGAGTGTTCTCCTTGGCCTCTGGCTCCTCTCCACCGTGGGCACTGGACCAAGACCTGCTATCCGGAAACAGCCACCTTCTGTGTCTCCCTCCCCACCTCCAACCCCATGAGCAGGAGAGAAATTCTAGGTCGCTTCCATGACCCTCCAGAAGCAAGAACAACTCAGGCAAATTAGATCCGGGCCCACTCTCTGTTTCCTAGTCTACTTCAAAGTCGCTTTCCCCCAGGTCCACAAGGGAGCAACCCTTAAGATGATCTCCTCCCAGGGTTCCACATTAAAATGGAGCAAAAGCTTCAAGCTCTCAGCATTCCCCTCAGCTCCAGTGGCACCCCTCCTTTCTCTAGACTCTGTTCTGGAAATATGTGATCGAGACAATGTGTCTTCCTCCTTACCTTTTCTGTTGTTCTTTCCTATGTGTTAATTTGGGGAATCTTCTCTAGGCAAATCTGGTTTCAAATCTATTGTTTGGCAGCAAAAACCTATTTTGAATGTCAGGAGTTGACTATTAACTTTTGTTTCCCTTGGTATTTCCCTTGGAAATACCATTTACTTACCCCAGAACTGTACCTTACCTTGGGCTGAGCAGGGATAAAGTAGCATACCCAAAGTACAAACAGAAAGCACATTAAAATGCTTTCTAATAATACCTCTGTTTCACAAAGAAACAACTTTCTTTTCTTTTCTTTTCTTTTTTTTTTTTTTGAGACAGAGTCTTGCTCTGTCGCCCAGGGTGGAACACAGTGCATGATCTCAGCTCACTGCAACCTCTGCCTCCTGGGTTCAAGCGATTCTCCTGCCTCAGCCTCCTGAGTAGCTGGGATTGCCACCATGCCTGGCTAATTTTTGTATTTTCAGTAGAGACAGGGTTTCTCCATATTGGGCAGGCTGGTCTCAAACTCCTGACCTCAGGTGATCCTCCCACCTTGGCCTCCCAAAGTGCTGGGATTACAGGCATGAGCCACTTTTCAGTAATCATCAATAGCATTAATTTTCTCCAAATGTATTCTTGGTTGCATTAGAACATACTTGAGTGCACTGATTATGAGGGGGATAAGGGAAAAAGTCCCCTTTGCCTTCTGATGATTCACTGAAAACCAAAACTGACAAAACACAGAAAATGGGGAAAATAAGGCATACAAATATGTTTGATCATAGTTTTCCACAACACAAGAACCTTCAGCACGAAGACCTAAAGATACAAGGGCAATTGCTTTTTTTTATGCTTAGGTTCAACAAAGCAGGAACAGCCATGCAGAAATATAAGTGAACAAAAAGGGTATGATCTAAGGCCAATAGAGTGAAGGGAAGTCCAGCAAGTCCTGACTGCTTAGATTTTTTTTGGCCTCTCTGTGTAGCATTCCTTTTTCTTTTTCTTCTTTTTTTTTTCATTTGAGACAGAATCTCATTCTGTTGCCCAGACTGGAGTGCAGCGGCACAATCTCGGCCCACTACAACCTCTGCCTCCCGGGTTCAAGTGATTCTCCTGCCTCAACCTCCTGAGTAACTAGGACTACAGGCATGTGCCACCACACCTGGCTAATTTTTATATTTTTAGTAGAGATGGGGTTTTGCCATGTTGGCCAGGCTGGCCTTGAACTCCTGACCTCATGTGATCCACCCGCCTTGGTCTCCCAAAGTGCTGGGATTACAGGCGTGAGCCCTGTGCCTGGCCAGCATTCCTTTGTGCTGAGCACAGGGCAGGACCCTCCCTGGAATGGGGGTCTTATGACTTACAATCAACCAAGGTAGTCAGATAATTTCTTTGTGGCCAATTTTTACACAGGGATGTGGGGGAAGTTACAGTAATATTTTCAGGTTTTATGGCTGACTTTGGGGAAGGGTATTCTGGTTTTGATAACCTGCCTTGGGGAAAAGAGATTCTAGTTTCTATAGCCGACCTTGTGGGAGAATGGGACTGAGAGACAGGAGAAAAGAAGTCAGAGAAAAACTTTTGATTCTGAAGCTGCTTCTGGGGCTTTCATTTCAGGGTATCATTTTCTGAGGCCCAACAGTTACACTATAAAGTAATTCCAGCAGAAAAGTAATTCCTGCCCTACAAAGGAAAATGGGAGGTACCTATAGGGAACATCCTTCTTTCCCATCACTAGGTTCATGGCTGAGCCCCCCCATAACTAAAGGCAGATTATCAAGAGAGAAGCATACAGATTTATTTAATGTAACTTTTACATGGCAGGAGAGCCTTCAGAAACGTAGACCCAAGACACCAGTGCTTCTCTGAAAAATGGATAGGAGGCCATTGGTTTAGACTGAGCTCCTGCACTAGGCCCAACAAACCAGACCAAAATGGGGTTACTCATGCTAAAGTTTCATGCCATCTAGCTAAGTTGTTTATCCAAATCCCCAAACAGGCCAGTTTTAGCTGGCATTATAAGGAAGCCCTCTTCCCTTTAACTTTTACAAGAAAAGTTACTTTGAAACAACCAATTTACTTTTTGTTCCACTTTTGCTTTCCTCAGCCCTTTTTTGTCTATAAAGCCAATCTCCCCTGCTCATCTCTATTTTATAGAATGAGATGCTGCCTGATTCTGGGATTGCAAATAAAAGCCAATTAAGATTTTTAAACTAAATTTGTTATAATTTTGTCTTTCAATGCAGGTAAATTTGTATATCTTTTTACCCTAGGTTTGATGAAGAAGTGGGTAGTCATGGAGAAGTATAATTGGACAAAGGGGTATAATCCAGTGGTAATAAACTGGGGGGAACTTAGCAAGGCCGGTTGGTTCAGATTCTTCTCTGTGTCACTGTGTTTTCAGATATAAGAATGTTCCTTTCCTCCCAAAATAATGAAGGCCCCTCCCAAACCAGAGTCTTTTGATCCACTTTAGAGGAGAAAGGTAAGGGAAGGTCAGAGTGGCCTTCTTGCTTCTACTGTTTTCTGAAATGCCAAGGTGCCATATTTTGGGGTTTCATGTCCTGAGCCCCATCAAACCCAAGGAACAGATATACTCCTTAAACACAAACTAGTGATTGCAGCTTAAATCTAAAAGATGTAATCAAAGTAGTTAGGTTCATCAAATAAAATTGCCAGATAAATTGTTGGGGGCCAGGCATCATATGACACGCTTGTGGTCCAGCTACTTGGGAGGCTGAGGTGGGAGAATTGCCTGAGCCCAGGAAGCTAAGTCTGCAGTGAGCTACTATTGCACCACTGCACTCCAGCCTGAGTGACAGAGCAAGATCCTGTCTCTGGAAGATAGATAGATAGATAGATAGATAGATAGATAGATAGATAGATAGACAGACAGACAGACAGATGATAGATAGTAGATAAATAGAGGGATAGTAGATAGATAGATGACAGATCATAGACAGACAGAAGATAGATAGATAGATAGATAGATAGATAGATAGATAGATAGATAGATGGGTTTCAAAATTTGATGAATGATAAAAGAGGTTGAACTTAGAAATCTCAGGTCCAAATGTGAAATGACTGAACGATGCCCAAAAGAGGTGTCCTACATAATGATTCGGGGAGCGAGAGCTTAGCTTCTCTTTTAGCCAAACAGGCTCATTTGGTGACAGTCAGATCAAATGACTTCCATTGTCACGCAGGGGCATGAAGCACCACAGGAAAGGATCATGGAAAAGGCAGTGGCAAAGTCAGAGCCCAGTTTCCCAAACCTAACCAGAGGGCACAGAGAAGTTTCTAAGTCCCGGTGGATAAATTAGAATATGGCACTCACAGGTCTGGGCTGGGCAGGGAGGTGCAGGTTGGAACTCGGGCAGAACTGAGACCAGGAAGCCAGCACCAAAGCCCAGGTAAAGCAGAAAGGCCCAGATCAGCCAGCCTGAGGCTTGAACTGAGCACAGAAAACCGGTAATAGCAAGAAGGCAAGCCCCCAGGGGAAAGCGTGAAGCAACATCTTGGAGTGGACTTATCATGGCCTGCTCTCTGCCTTGTTTTAAGCAACCTTCCTGGTGTGGGCAAATGGTGGCTGGCAGTCAGGTGTTACTACTAGAACAAGGACAGGCCCGGAAGCTGTCGGCAATTGCAGCATATCTCTGAGGAAGCTTCCTGGTTCTAGACAAGAACTAGAGACTTCAAAGGAGGAGTATAGGAGTGAGGGATAACCTGCTTTTAGAATGATAGGGGTCCCTGACACCAGACATACCTGTCTTTACCAGAGCCAAAGACTCCTTCTACCCTATGGATTAAGGTCAAGGAAACCATGAAGGAATTTTAAGATGCTTCTGAGCTACAAAGGTTTTCCATTCCTTGCACTGGAATCAAAGTTATAGGGCAAGGTGCTGTAATGGCTCCAATGTATGGAGCCATTCATAACTAAAGGAGATGGGGTGGGAGGTGGAGAGAGACAGGAACAGAGAGAGAGAAGTTTGGGGGAGGGGAAGAGATGCAATATTAGGTTAATGGGAAAAGGTACAGTGACTTCACAGGTGAAAAAATCCTGAATTAAATGCCATTTCAATAGACCTCTATAAAGTATGGAAAGAAACACACTGTAGAAGCAAACAGATGGCACTCCGAAATTCAAAAACAATGACTAGAGTGGCCATTCTAAAAAAGCCAGTTCCTAGCAATAGCTGGTAGCTGGCCAACATTCTCAGCTGGAAACTATAAACTCACTTTATTTGGGGACATCTAAGGCTTCAGGGCAGGATGTGATGAATCCAATCAATGCTGACAATCCACCCTACAAAGATTTCCAGAACACATCCCCTCCAGGTCATTCTCACCACCTGTGTTTGAATGCAAGCCCTCTTCAGTTCTCACCTGAATTCCTGCAACAGTCTTCCAACCGGTATATCTGGGCCAGCCTCTCTCTGCCACCCCCATCTCCGGATGGAGACCACAATGTGTTTTTTGGTTATGTCCCAGGACCCACTGTGACCCATGGAAGTGAAAAATGCCTCTACCAGGGATTCTCTTTGCATGTCCTGAAAGCCCTTCTGTGGGTCCCACGTGGGTGGGTCCACTGTCCACACACTGAGCAGCCACCCCAGGAGCGGAGAAGAAGGGGAGTATGCAGTCTTTGAAGAGAACCTGCCATTCACACTCCCTGCATTGGTCGCTCAGCCAGCTCCCCTGGGGCCATATTTGGCCTCAGCCTAGGGAACACTGAGTAGTGATTGTTAAGCTCCGGTCTATCTTCCCCTGGTACGCAAAACTTGGATTCATTAAGTCGTCTCTCTCTCCCTGCATCCATTCATTCACTTGTTTAATAAATATTCATTTAATAAACATGAGTGAATACTAATACATGCCCGGCAGTGTTGCAGGAGCTGGGGATTCCACACTGAACAGACACTTGAAAGACTGTGAATACCTTTATTCCTGATGGCTTACTGCCATGACCCACAACCTTTCTCAGTAGAGCAAATTCTCTCAGCAGAAGAATCATGGAAGCAGAAAGAAAGAATATTTCAAAATTGGCGTACCTGAAACCACAGATCTGCAGCATTCTCTTCAGGGGGAATCTCACATGGAACCGGTTTTCAATATTGACTCTTGCATTTGGCACCATGAACTTGTGTCTGGTTTCCCCTGGTCTGACTTCAGGGTCTCCTAGACAGTCTCAGGATGGGGGCCACTTACACCCTCCATCTATTCTGGGCAGCGCCCGTCCCAATGCATGCACTTACAAGCTGTGGGACCTCAGATAGGTTGTATTAATCCATTCTC